TTTTTCATTACTTTTATTTTTCCCGAAACCCCTTAACGATTTCTCCCTTAATACCAAATCCGCGGCGTATGCGAGCGAGTGGTCGTGGCGGTGACAGAGGCTGGTACATCGGCATAACAGCACTCGGAGGTACGCTTCCCCGTTTTTGACCAGTCCCGATAGACTCGTTAAAATTTCAAGCGGTCCTCCGGCGCCCGCCGGGAGTCCGGCAAATTTTTTCCCGTTAACTTTTCAATTCTCATATTTATTTTCCGGGTAAAAGCTCTCACGGGTGGAATTTAAACAGAAAAATTAGAGTTCTCCGCAGAGGGTGTGGAATGTTTGACTAGCTAATGAATCCCAGTGATGAAAACTTTTTTCATCACTTTATTCACTCGTTGAGGTTGTACTTCGATGAACATCAATCAAGCAATATCAATTGCCGAAAAATATTATCCCCGAATAGTCACCGGACAGCAAATCACAATTCTTCGGGGTGAGTGGGCGTATACTTTTAATGCTGTTTCCGACTCTATAACGTCAAGATCAATCATTTTGTCAATAAGTCCGAGCTTCGAATTTAAACTTTCAACCCAGTTATGCCTGACAGATATACTACGGAGAATTTCCAATACAACTGAGAATGGTGGTCTAGTTGGTTTATCTCGGAGCTGATCCCGAACCATATCTATCTCTGGTGTACCCTCGGCAGAATTAGATCGGCAGTGGTGGCGTAATCCGGTATTACGATACGAGCGTGCGGCAAACTCCGGAGTTCGAGATAAATTGCAAGAATTGAGAGATAGTGGGGGACTTTCATGTGGAAAATTGGAGTATTCGTGGGTTGATCGTAACTTTTTTTGTTCCGTCACACAAAAAATGAGGAGGACACAGCTGCTACTGCTCGCATTCTTACAAAAAATTGGAATTCCAGGGAGAGTCACTAGTGATTAGTTATTGTTAACGAATGGATTTGGTTGGAGGCTGGAGTCTATTCGGTCTCACCAAATGTTCGTTCGTTAATAGTTAACAAATGCATATTTGGGGAGCCGTTTCACTCGACTTTCACCTTTCAGGTGAACCATTTGTTAACTATTGACGAATATTTATGGGGTCATATTCAACTCTACCATTCGCTAATAGTTAACGAATCTCGTTTGGAATAAATAAATTATTCTATCAGTGTGGCGAAGCGGGAAAACGGTTCGAGTCAACTTAGTCGCTAACTGAGTTTTTGGGGAATATCTCCGCATCTACACTGAGAGAAAAATATAATTCTTCTGACTATATTCCATCACCATCGAATTATAGTCAAAAAGTCCTCAACAATTTTTCATGGGTTACGGTAACTATGGCCGGAGAAGTAATTAGTACAATGGAATGTAGTCATTGCAACTATTTTATAGTTCTCCTCACAAGAGATTTGTCGTGGTTACTTTTGAACTTTGGTTAGTTCAACTGCATTTTGATTTGCAAAAATTACGGTTGTGAAGTTACTATAATGTTATGTGCCGCATATAAAAAAAATCGTATCGTTCACCAAAATGCCTCAACTATTTTCTTATTGTAAATCGAACTCAGATTTCAGATTTTGCTCTCAGTGTAAGGGAGGCGACCTTTTTGGAGAGCGAATCGCGAGCTGCGAAAAAGTCGGGGCAAAAGTTTGCTTTCTTGCCTAGATTTCGAGACATTCTTGGAAAAGTGGCCAGTAGTCAGAATTGAATTGAAAAACTGATAACATTTCAAGCTTCCGGTGAAATTCGAGCGATTTTAAATTGTTTTTTTTGAGAATTGACTTGAAAATTTCGTAACTTACTTGGATTTTCCTCATTTTTCCTCGTTTTCAATGAATATTCAATTGAAATTTACACTTTCTATTGATTTTGTCATAAAATTCTAAATGTATGATTTTTTATGAGAAGATTTTCTGAAATAACTCCGAGATTACTTTATCTCCGGGACATACCGTTAGGGACAAATTGAAATTTCATGGGCAGTTTAATAGTAACTTCCAGGAGAACGACATTAAATTCGATTTAGGGGGGGGGGGATAATCAAATTTCCAGTTTCTTAAAAAATGCAAGCAAATTCCAATTTTTTCCAGTAGCAGAGAGACGAGAAGTCATTAAATTATGTGGAACTTTCAGTCAATTAGAAATTCAACAAGGCTTTTTCCTGAATTTTCCGGACTTCCTGAAAAATTAAGTTTCATTTCCTGAAAAAATCAAGTATTTTATTGATTTCCAGAGCATTTGAACAGAAAATTAACNCAACTGCATTTTGATTTGCAAAAATTACGGTTGTGAAGTTACTATAATGTTATGTGCCGCATATAAAAAAAATCGTATCGTTCACCAAAATGCCTCAACTATTTTCTTATTGTAAATCGAACTCAGATTTCAGATTTTGCTCTCAGTGTAAGGGAGGCGACCTTTTTGGAGAGCGAATCGCGAGCTGCGAAAAAGTCGGGGCAAAAGTTTGCTTTCTTGCCTAGATTTCGAGACATTCTTGGAAAAGTGGCCAGTAGTCAGAATTGAATTGAAAAACTGATAACATTTCAAGCTTCCGGTGAAATTCGAGCGATTTTAAATTGTTTTTTTTGAGAATTGACTTGAAAATTTCGTAACTTACTTGGATTTTCCTCATTTTTCCTCGTTTTCAATGAATATTCAATTGAAATTTACACTTTCTATTGATTTTGTCATAAAATTCTAAATGTATGATTTTTTATGAGAAGATTTTCTGAAATAACTCCGAGATTACTTTATCTCCGGGACATACCGTTAGGGACAAATTGAAATTTCATGGGCAGTTTAATAGTAACTTCCAGGAGAACGACATTAAATTCGATTTAGGGGGGGGGGGATAATCAAATTTCCAGTTTCTTAAAAAATGCAAGCAAATTCCAATTTTTTCCAGTAGCAGAGAGACGAGAAGTCATTAAATTATGTGGAACTTTCAGTCAATTAGAAATTCAACAAGGCTTTTTCCTGAATTTTCCGGACTTCCTGAAAAATTAAGTTTCATTTCCTGAAAAAATCAAGTATTTTATTGATTTCCAGAGCATTTGAACAGAAAATTAACGGAATATTTGATTTTTCAATGACAAGATTTCCTGAAATTCCAGTGGAACTTGAACACGATAAAAATTTCCGAAATTTGGTACGGAAAATTCAGCCGAAAATGTTTAACAGTGTAATATAACATTTGCTCAATTCCAAAAATCAGAATTTTCGAGAAATTCGATTTAAGTTTCTGAAAAATTTGATTCAAACTCTCGGATAATTTTTTTATGCACTGTTAAAAATTTTTATCTGAAATTCCCGGTGCACTTTTTGGAAATTTTTATCGAATTTGATTACCACTGAAATTCCAACGAATGTCGTCATTAAAAATTCATGAATTTTGCTGAATTTTCAGTGAAACCTGAAATTTCATTTTTTTTCCAACAGTGTAATTCAATTTGAAGCCCGAAAGTCTTAACTTGTCGGCAGAGAATAGTAAAATACCCTGAAAACGGTGGAAAATACGCCAACACCAAATGAAAGTTTATTCTCTCTGCGCACGTGGTACTTTGCTTAGCATTGAACTACTCATTCGTACGTATCATCCAACGCATCAAATCCCCCGACGGCTGGATATTCCAGGAGATCGATTACTCAATTTCCACTGTGAGCTAACCCCTACTGGGATAAGAGAAATGTAAGGGCATCAAGACAAGACTAAAGGGGTGGGGGCGCGTCATTAGAGCCGTAGGGCAAGAATCCACAGCACAGCACTCTCCCTTGAGTGAGGGGTAATTCATTCCTACCCTGGATGCAGAACAAATTGCTCAAACCAGAATTGCAAGCTTTATTCTCGGTGAGTGGTGTAGCTTGTCAAGAGGGCTTTCCTCATAGCTACCTTTAGTAGTCTCCAGCTACTCGCAGGTTCCTTCTCTAGGCTACTTCTCCTCGCATTCCCGGGGGATCATAAATGCTGATATATTCGAGTTAGCGTATAAACGTTGCTTTCATGTTGAATTGTATATGTTGCTGGCTCTTGAGTTACCGTTGCTACGTGAGATTTTATGGGCTGAGATGCGGATGTTGTCTTTGCGGTTTATACTGATTTTGTCGAGGGTGATATACACGGGAGTAAACATGGATTGCCATTATATTATATGATCTAAGCAATTCTTGGCACAAGCGTTTTGTCGGCGGATGTCTGGGGACAATTCCAAGGAATTTTTTGTATTGAAAATTCACAATTTCGTAATTGTCGCAATAAAATGATTATTGAAATAATTAGTTATTGCCACAATTCACAATTTGATGAGAAATGGTTTATAAAAATTCGTAAAACTGAGGAAAATTGAGGGAAACATATTCCTGAATTTTCAATTGATGGAAAATTTTGCGGAGAATTCAGTGTAATTCGGAGAATTCGTGTCTTTTGTCTAAAAAATTCAGAATTGCATTGACTTTTCGGTGAAACCTGCAATTTCATAATTCTTTATCTTCCAGATCAAATTCAATGTTACTCTCCTGAAAACTACAAGTCAACTGTCCATGAAATTTCAATATTTTCCTAACACCGTACACTGTTAAAAATTTGGAAATTTTTATCAAATTTAATTACCACTGAAATTAATAATTCACAATTTAGTGGAAAAATCGAAGAGAACTGTAAATTTCAGTTCCATTTTTCCCTGAAAATGAATAGAACAACGGAAAATTCCGGTAAATATACTCTTGAATTTTCAGGGAAGTGACACTGAATGCGATTTAAGGGTAAAAAAAATCATGAAATTTTAGATTTCACTGAAAATTGAATGTATTCATATTTCAGTGAAACCTGAAATTTCATGATTTTTCCCCTAAATTGTATTTAATATCCCTCTCCTGAAAACTACTAGTCAACTGTCCATGAAATTTCAATATTTTCCTAACAAGATAGGGCATTCAAGCAAGTTGGGAGATTCCCATACAAAAATTAATCAATGGAAATAATTATTGTATCGTTTTTTGTTTGGTTTGCAGCCGGAAAATTGCATCTCCATGTACGAGCCACACGCCTACTGCGTCGTTTACTCAACAACCGACAGAACATCAGCGCGAGTAGCAGAGGAAGTTCTTCAATCATTATGGCGGGCTGACCACGTGTCAGCGAGAGCTGTGATTCTTGTGGGAAATAAAGCGGATCTCGTTAGAAGTCGAGACGTCGCCACCGAAGGTACGTCGAATTCACTTCAGGGGACCATAAACTTCAATTAAGAATGAGTCGGTATATTACGGTCAGTTTCGGCGATAACTGAAAGTGTAATTGTTTGAATGAATCCAATTGTGATTTAAAATCGTCTTCCAAACGCACTTCTTGATCGAGTTCGATGAGATTGATTGCATCATCTGTTGTTGAAAAAATTTATTTTGAAACCGCTATTCAGGGGAAGGTTTTCAGGGAAAATTTAAACGTTGGGACAATGTTGAATTGAATTAATTATTGAATTCAATTTAAAATACATCGTCATAGAAATTTCATTCGGAAGCAAATTGCGAATTTATAGCAAAAATATCTTGACTACGTTGTGACGAAAGCAATTTCCCATTTGTTTTCACCCCTATCATACGATATTTTATGATACTAATTAGAAAAGGGCAGTTCTTGGGCGCGAGAACGTATGAAAAAACCGGATAGAAATTTTCTATACGGATTGCGTATAGAAATTCTATAGGATTTCCGTATATGATATTCGGATATTTCTCTAGGAATTATTTCTATAAATAAATTTTTACATGAATTTTCGTTTTCTCCAGAGAAAAAACATCGAGAAATATCGCAACTCCATACGAAATGTTTCTATACATGTGGCAATGGGTCATATAGGATCAAACCCATAGAAATCCTACAGAAATTCTATACGCAATCCGTATAGAAAATTTCTATACAATTTTTTCATACGCACGGAGAGAAATTTTCAGTAAAAATTACAGAATTCACAGTTCCCTCACCGATTACGGAATCGACTCAGAAAATTTAAGTGACGGTATCGTAATTTTTCACAGGGGATTCAGATAAAAATTACGGAACGCTCTGGAAAAATTCTGAAACAGTTCCGTAAAATTTCCTACCACCACATTTCGCTCCGGAATTACGGAAAAGATACGTAATTTTTATTGAATATTTCTCTCCGTGCGTGAGGCGTGGAAAAAAGTTCCCTTTTCTTCACTTATATCATAAATCCAGTTATCTTTACTAAAGATTATATTGCCGGGTGGTTATTTGTAACGGCTATTCCTCTGATTTCATATTCAAGAGGGTAAATCCATGGCAACAGCGTACGATTGTAAATTCATCGAGACATCAGTCGGTATAAATCACAATGTGGACGAGCTTCTCGTTGGTTTATTATCACAAATACGACTGAAAATGGAGAATCCAGAGAGAACACGTGATTTGTTTCGCAAGAGATCACGGAAAACAAGGAGCAGATCGCCTTTGGGCTCTTGCTCCGAGAATAATTCACCCAAGAAGTATCGCGGTAGTCGCACCAGTGCCAGTCTCAAGGTAAGAAGTTTACTCGGTAAAGTGTGGGCAAGAGACAGTAAATCCAAGAGCTGCGAGAATTTACATGTACTTTAAGAATTTTCATTGCACTTTGACAATGGAAGACAACAATTAATTTAATCGATAGAAAAGTCAAACTGAGGGAGAAGTTATATCTGATTTTTTACAAAGACTGAAATTGTTGGGATGGAAATAATCATTCTGCCTCGACCGAAGTTAAGGGACAAGTAAATTGTGAGAGGAATGAATGAATGGTTGAGCTTGTGTCAGTGAAAAATTTAAGAAATTCGGATGATCCTGCCCTTCTATTCGCACTCGTAAACTGATTCTCATTTGGGAGTTTTTCCGAGTTTCTTTTCAACTTTTTGATTATAGTTTCAAGTTTCATGGGGGAAAATACACTTTGGCATTTACTTTTGCGCTCTGTTCTATTTCAATCCCCAATTGTGGGGTCTCCTGGGCATTCCTGGGAGCAGTAAAAAATTTCATTCAAACCCAATGTCCCGAGAAAAAGGGTGGGAATATTATTGCTGAACTAGTTTTTTTTATAGAGTATTGAAGCTACGCTGGAATTTTTTAATTTAAAAATGCAAATCAGTTGATATATTTCTTCAATGTCACAAGTTTTTGTTCGTAATTGTGAAATTGTGGGGGCGAGGCAGTTTGAGTTGAACTACCTGAAGGGGGTAGCATAATTAGAGGGGTAAGGGAACGCGGGGCAGAATGGACAGTTCAGATTTTTTTTGAAAAGGAATTATTCCATTTCATCAGCAACTGAATAGTGTTTCAACATTAAAAGAAAATTCTAAAGTGTCCATTGCCGGCTCTCGTTTCCTACATTCGTCGAGATTCAACACGAATTTGTGGATCGTTGAGCTTTAAAAATGACGTAGGATTAATATAATAATTCGAGGAAAAGATTTAAGAGAGGAAAGGTGAAAGGATACTGCACTGCAGCTGCGCAAAAACTACTCTCGTTAATTACGAAGTGAAATGAAAAGAACATTAAAACGTTTGAGCTGTATTTTTGAATCCCATTTCGAATACGCTTGGATCATAGCAATAGGTGAACTTACGAATTTAAGAGAAAATACATGAAATTATAAATTTTTGTCTCGTTGACACGATTATAAATCACAGTAGGACAATTTGTGGTAAATCTTGTATATCATTGTGCATAACTAATGGATAATTATCCGATGATATTTATTATAAATCCTTAGAGTGAAAATTTTACTCCTCAACGTTCGTGACCGTAACATGAATTTACACAATTTTTTACATTACGATTTTGTACGTTGAATCATGAAAAAAAAAGAGAAACAAATGAGTGGAAAATTTTTTAAAAAAGTGAACAAGTACATAGATATATCGAATCACTTGTACATCATCGAGAGGCGCGATGGCCGACGCTATATCATTTGAAACCTATTCATTTATCTTAAGTTCATCCCGATTATTTTCTTCAATGACAAATGAAAAATTGTTCAAAGTACACGTGAAACTGCTAGAGTAGTTCAATCGAGCTAATGTCTAATTCATTACCGGATGAATTAAATTGTTGGGTGGCAGGACAATTTATTGACACCCACACGAGGTCCATTAGATTATAAGTCGTTGATAAATAGCCAACTGCATAAATGCGTCGCGTATGTTGGGTCATTAAATCGATAATTTATTTTTTTTCGAGGGAAAATTCAAGGGGAAAAGTCGCCTGTTAATTCGATGAAAAACTCATTGGATGAAATTTTCAATTTATTTTCTGGAGAGATTGGAGATCATTCATTTCTCTCTGGTTTCCCGCTGAAGAGTGCATTCAATTAATATTTTGCGTGCGCTCTTTGCACTCTCCATTCCGCAATTATTCGGTTATCATGATATTTTCCACTTGAATTTTGTCTCTGTGAAAATGCAATCAGCAATCATAGTGCAATGGAACAACAGACAAGTACTTCGCACGATCGTTATTTCAGTGCTATAATTTTAACAGCAAGTGAGATTGAAAACAAATGTCTTTGCATTCAGCACAAAAAAAATTAAACCAAAAATATCTGGATGTTCAATACTCAAGTGGCCCCTTTGAAGAGAATAATCATCTCGTGTTCGAGTGTTACCTTGTTCTCCCCAAGACTGTCTAAGAACCTCTTCGAGTTCGCAATTATTTCCCAATCTCCATTATTACTCATAATAATCAGTAGAACAATTCATTTCTTTGAAGGAGAATTTTCATTGAAGAAACTATTTACTTGGGAATAAAAAGATATCTCTACTCGTTAGCATAAAGCTCGTAAATATAGAATTGTTATCTTATTTTACTTTAATTACGGAGATGTATGGCATTGAGTGGAATTTCAGACTCGGTCATTAATTATATCATTCGTAGGAGTGGCAAAAAAAATAATGAGACAAATAACAAAATGAAAAAATCTCCGATTCGTTGGATCTCACGTTTCATTACGTAAATTGCTATTTGATTAATGGAAACCATCAGCATTAATTATTAATGACATGAAAGCATGTCGAAAAAAGACTAGGAGAGCTAGGGGAAATGAATATCGAAATGAGCGAAACTAATTTACATGTTTCGATGATAAATGTCATAATCAAAATGTTGAATTATTCATAGAACTCTAGCGAATTTAAAGATTAAAGACAATTGAAATATCATTTTAATAGCGAATTATTTACGTTCGCATGTCCGTCGAATTTTATCAGCCAGGGAGATTTAGATTATATGAAATGATGATTGAATTATTGAATTTGTCTAGATGAAAAATCATGTTATTCTCTGTGTCCATACCAACTCGTTTTGTGTTCCTAAATAAATGATAAATAACAATAATAATAGTGAATAATGTCAAGGTAACGCCGAACTGTGTGAACAAAAAAAAATTAATGATAATTGATAAAGAAATCTCAAGTAACAAATAGCGTCGAAAAAATCATGACCGAAATGGCGCAAAGCTTTGACCAATGTTCCAATGAATTTTAGTACTCTAGGTGGGAGGATATTCTTAATAGTGAACTAATACGTACGATAAATTTTATTGATATATTAGTAGTCCAAGCGGACATTTTGCGTCATCGCGGAACAATTGAAACAATTAAATTGACAAAAATCAATCGTTTGAATAAACAAAATATAAACAAACATTGTCCGTAAGGAAATGGTGAGCGGAACAAGTAGTTATTATGAATTTCGATGATGTCGAAGCGAGAGAGTAATTTCTCGTGGAATTCGCATCATTTTTCAACAAACCCTTCCCAATGAAATTTGTGTGAATTATTGATAAATAAAAACGTGTGGAGAGTTAATAAAATCGATCAATCGTTTTGTTCTGCGTGAGGGATACATCTGCAATTCAAGGAACAATCCAAAATTTCATCGATTATTTGCATTCTCGCGTTCTTCGTATCTCGTTTCACACACGCTATCCATATCGTGGAATGAAACAATATGTACATTCATCTTTCAATGGCGCAAACCAGCGGAAGAATGGGAATAAATTTATTTGAATTTGTAGAGAACTGTTAATCAAGAGAAACGTACGATCAATTTCTCACATATTCGATGGCAAATAACAGAAATGAGAATTCAAAGTGATTATGAAATACCGATAATTCTCGTTTTTGTTTCTCCAACATAACATGCACTTATCTAACATTTTAAATTATCAAAAATGTCAAATTGTAAATCCACGGTGTCTGCACTATAAGAATATGGCCACAAATTATATATTGTATGAGATTACAGAACATTCCGAGAATACCCTTACTAGTGAGTAATGAACGATTGTATGATCCGTAATGTGTGATCAATTTTTTGTAGTCTATGTTGGATAATTTAAAAATTCATTGTTTTATAATAAAAGAAGGAGGAAAAAAATCAAAAGGAATAATGGGGTGTGTGTTGTCTATTCGTATTCTAGTTATTTCATTCCCCTCATGGAGAGTCGACGTCGTCAACCTTTTTATGGAGGCGCAATTGAGGGAGAAAAAATACACCAATAGGAATGCCACCTGCGTCCAATCGTAAAATATTTGTCAATTCCAATTCCTTCGTATATGTACTTTCAGTGATCGGAATGCTACGTATTGTGGACAATCGACAATAGCATATTCGCACGAACATCTCGGGGGCGATTATGCCTGACTGATTGACGGAATCTTGAGTAGTTGAGAGTAATAAAATAAGTCCTCCGGGAAAACTGAATTTTTCCCAAAATAAAACATCTCAATGTGGAAAAATAATTTACGGAGCTTTGCCGCAGAGAGAAATGTTCAGTAAAAATTACGGAACTCACAATTTGCTCACCGATTACGCAATCGACTCAGAAAATTTAAGAGACGGTATCGTAATTTTTCACAGGAAATTCAGGTAAAATTATGTGACAGTTTCATAAAATGTCCTACAACCACATTTCACTCTGGAATTACGGAAAATACGTTATTCTTATTGAATATTTCTCTCCGTGCGTTAAAAAATGGAAAATTATTCAAAACTGCAGAGAATTCTCTAGAAAACTCGATTAGATTCGTAATTATAATTCTTGTTATGACACTAGGCCCGATAAAACGCGACTCTGACCTCGCTTCGCTCAGTTAGATCGCGGTTTTCGAGCCCAGTGGCATGAAATGTTGTATGTCACTCGGCGATAAAACCTGACTTATGTGATTATAGTCCCCGCCTTGGGCTCGGATTATAAAGTCACATTTGTCAGATGATATTTTTATCTCCTGATGACGCAATATATTATTTTGTCACATTTGTGATGAATGTGACATTATAATTATACTAGGGGGCTACGCCCCCCCTCGCTCCGCTCGCCAACTCCCATATGACCCTCATGATCCTTATTCTTACCCTTGTGACCCTCATTATACCTCTCGTGACCCTTCATTTCTGACCCTTAATTTTGAAGTCTTAATTTTGAGCACTAAATTTTCATCAACAAAAGTCGATTTGGATTTTTATAATATAGAGAGATGAGTGAGACAATACTTTTATCGCCGTGTGACACACAATATTTCATTCATACATTATTTTAGTCGCTTCGCTCGGTTCTACGGAGATCTCTTCATAACCGTTTAGGTTTTTTGATGATGACATGTTGAAAAATAATTAATCAACCCCGGGTCTTCCGTCAAAATCAACATTTCCAAGATAATCAAAGACTAAATTCTCAATTTTTTTCATTAAATTTGAAAAGTCAACAATTTTTTTTACACGATATCGTTCCGTTATTTATTTACGAAAGAAAAATGTTGAAAAACGATATTGATATTTCACAACATTTAACTTGAGTGATAATTAGATATGATTTTTTGCAATTATTCAGGCGCCAGTAAGTTTACAAATTTAAAACAAACCAACGAAAAATCACGAGAAAATGCAGTAGATTGAAAAGTGAATTAATTTTCTGATAAGCCCCCGAGCGTAATTACACATTCATTACAAAGTACAAAATTACCCAGAGTGCAGAAGGCTCGATTCGTCGTTGAGTTTTCGGAAACAAGGAGAAACTTTTCATTCGCCATGACACGAGCCAAAAAGACAAGGACAATGACGGCCGCATTGCAAAACTAGTTTTAATTGTTTTTCAACTCTACTAATGATTCACTGCGGAGTTGAACTAAAAAGTGTGAGAGAGGGACAGGAAATTGTGAGTTAGAACGGGGTTAAGACCTCAGGGAGGGTGTAACTCTGTTAATCCTTTCTCTCAGTCTTGCAATTGGCTCCTACCCAAACGAGAAATACCCCTCCAAGCAAACTCACCTCTTCTCGCCCGCTCGTTAACTCCAACGCAATTCCCCACTCCCATTATCTATCACTTTTATATTCTCCCATACACGAGTCTTTAATGGCTTTTTAACAATAATATGCTTATGTAAATTGTAAAGGTCGACGTCAACCTCGAAATAATGGACCCTCTCTGGAATTTGCGAGAATTAATGAATACAAAAAGTGAACATCGAACTTTTGCTTCGAAAAAAAGTTCTCCCTCAACCGCGGAACCAACTTTAAACGACAACATTTGTCTCCTGAACAGTTGAAATCAGTGGCCCGTAACGCTTAAACCGCACACCAATGGTAAATTGTTGGTTTCATTATATTCTGAAGACGAGTAAATTCCGTTGATCATTCAGACGTAATTTTGAAAAAAATGATTTAAAAACTTGAAGAATTAATATATGAATGGAATTTTCATTCATGTCGATGGACAGGGGGGCAGTACCTCCGTTTGAGATAAACAATGATTAACTTCTATCGATTCATTAGCGTATAATTAGAAAAAAACTTTCGGGACATATTCACATGGATACGAACACGGTTTGAAAATTGCATTTTCGGACTTTTTCGATCATAATGGGTTGATCTTTTTTATGTTCTCCCGTACGTGAGTTTTTAATGGCTTTTTTACCGATAATGTGCTTATGTAAATTGTAAAGGTGGACGTCAACTTCGAAATAATGGACCCTCTCCGGAATTTTCAAAAATTAATGAATACAAAAAGGCACCATCGAACTTTTACTTCGAAAAAAAGTTCTCCGTCAACCGCGAACCCAACGTTAAATGACAACCAATGGTAAATTGTTGGTTTAATTATTTTCTGAAGACGAGAACATTCTGTTGAACATTCAGACGTAATTAAAAAAAAATGAATCAAAAACTCGAAGAATTAATGTATGAATTGAATTTTCATTCATGTCATACACACATAGATACGAACACGGTTTGAAAATTGCATTTTCGGACTTTTTCGATCATAATGGGTTGATCTTTTTTATGTTCTCCCGTACGTGAGTTTTTAATGGCTTTTTTACCGATAATGTGCTTATGTAAATTGTAAAGGTGGACGTCAACTTCGAAATAATGGACCCTCTCCGGAATTTTCAAAAATTAATGAATACAAAAAGTCACCATCGAACTTTTACTTCGAAAAAAAGTTCTCTGTCAACCGCGAACCCAGCGTTAAATGACAACTAATGGTAAATTGCTAATTATTTTCTGAAGACGAGAACATTCTGTTGAACATTCAGACGTAATTAAAAAAAAATGAATCAAAAACTCGAAGAATTAATGTATGAATTGAATTTTCATTCATGTCATACACACATAGATACGAACACGGTTTGAAAATTGCATTTTCGGACTTTTTCGATCATAATGGGTTGATCTTTTTTATGTTCTCCCGTACGTGAGTTTTTAATGGCTTTTTTACCGATAATGTGCTTATGTAAATTGTAAAGGTGGACGTCAACTTCGAAATAATGGACCTTCTCCGGAATTTTCAAAAATTAATGAATACAAAAAGTCACCATCGAACTTTTACTTCGAAAAAAAGTTCTCTGTCAACCGCGAACCCAACGTTAAATGACAACCAATGGTAAATTGTTGGTTTAATTATTTTCTGAAGACGAGAACATTCTGTTGAACATTCAGACGTAATTTTAAAAAAATGAATCAAAAACTCGAAGAATTAATGTATGAATTGAATTTTCATTCATGTCATACACACATAGATACGGACACGATTTGAAAATTGCATTTTCGGACTTTTTCGATCATAACGGAAATCATCTTTGAATCATCTTTGTCATAATCTCTCGTACATGAGTCTTTAATGACTTCTGAACCATAATATGCGTATGTAAATTGTAATGGAATTTACGAAAATTATTAAAGACCAAAAGTCACTATCCAACTGTCCTCCCAAAAAAAGTGGCCCCTCCACCGCGGCCCCAACTTTAACCGACATTTGTCTCCTGAATAGTTCAAACCAGTGGCTCGGAACGTTTAAATCCCACACCCACGCTGAATTATGGGTTCAATTCTGTTTTGCAGACAAAAGCGTTCGATTGGAAAAACTCCAAAACTTTAACTTAAACGATGACAAAGTTTTCATTTAAGATAAAAAAATATTGATCTAAGAAATCGAATTTGGGGCATTTCAAAGTGTAAGACTGGAGATATATACCAATAAAATCCCATTTTCTAATAATATGTGTGCCTCCATTCGAAAAGAGCCCACAGCGTCGATTTTATTTTCCGAGATATTCCCGTTTTTGGCTCGGAAATTCTCATTTAAATAAATTATAAATTATTTTCTTTAAGATTCTCTAGCGTCGGGCTTCAAATGTGCGGAATATTATCGATGCGAATTGTAAATAATGGGACCTCTCTGGATTTTGCAAAAACTAATGAATACAAAAAATCGCTATCCAACAGTTCCGTAGAAAAAAGTCGTCGCTCCACCCCGCACGCACTTTAAACGACAACATTTCTCTTCTGAATAGTCGAAATCAGTGGCTCGTAGCGTTTAATCTCCACATCAATGGTAAATTGTTGGCTTAATTCTGTTCTGCAGGAGAATACGTTCGACTAGTTTCCGAACGGAAACATTGAGTATCCAGATGTAGATTGGGAGTGTCGAGGGTGGGGGAGTGCTCTGAGGTCTGAGTATCGACATCATAATAGTTATCAGCTTGCCAACAGTATCCCACTATGACAAGCAACAGCAATTCAATTCGCAACAATAGGTGAAAACCGACAGGATACGAGCCACTGTAGCTTATGGATGCAACGACGTTTCCGTGATAATACCACACTGCCTTAGCATTCTAGCATCCCCTAAAATTCTCCCCCCCATCTGTCGAGGCTGTAGTCCAGATTTACTATCCTCCTACGACTACGATGTCCGAGGCTTCCTGTTGTTCTGTCCTCGTACGTAGGGAAACGTGGGCCATAAAAAATCCATTTATGATCCATAAAAACTCTGGGTCAATCCAGAAAGCCCATGTTAAGCCCAGTTTTTTATGGTTTCTCATAGAAATGCGTGTACGATTTTTAACGGATGAAAGAAACTTTTCCTGTCATTTTTAACATCAGCCCCTCAGCAATTATATTCAGCTGTTCGTCACAAAAATTTAATGGCTTTTCCCACTCGTTGAACAATTTTCATCCCTCAATACGCATTTTGATCGTTCGGCCACAGGCTTCATCGTCCAACAGTGAAATATCAAAATATGGTTTTCTGTTTGAGGAATAAAAATGTTTCAATCATAATAAATTGGCTTGTACACTGAATCCCTCTTTATAAAACCACAGATATATTTTCTGTATGTGAGAAATGTTTCAATGATTACCATCAGGGTGCGACGAAAAATCGATAAGTTTTAAAATCCTTCGGGGCATTTTTTAAATCAACCCGTGAGGAATTATATTCAGCTGTCCGCAGCAAAAATTTAATGGCTTTTCCCATTCGTTGAACAATTTTTATCCCTCCATACGCATTTTGTTCGTTTACCAGTGAAAAATGAAAAATATAGTTTTCTGTTTGAGGAATAAAAATATTTCTGTCGTAAACAATTGGCTTGTAAACTAAACTTCATTTTATAAAATCATAAGTCCATTTTCATCTGCGAGAAACATTCTCTAATTATTCCTATCAGAGTGGGAAGAAAAATCGATAAGTTTCAAAATCCTCCCGAGCATTTTTAAAATCAACACGTGAGAAATTATATTCAGCTGTCCACTGCAAAAATTTAACGGCTTTTCCCATTCGTTGAACAATTTTCATCCCTCAGTACACATTTTGTTCGTTCAGCCACAGGTTTCGCCGTGCAAAAGTGAAAAATGAAAAATACAGTTTTCTATTTGAGGAATAAAAATGTTTCAGTCGTAAAAAATTGGCTTGCAAACTGAACCCCATTTTTTGAAACCACAAATAAATTGTGGTATTCAATTAAGTAATAACTCGTGACTAATCGAAGGGGCGTATTTATTGACAGGTCTGCAGAATCAATCGTAAAATCATGGAAAGATGAATCCAACATGAAGTTATTCCCAAACATTAGAGAATGACAATCAACTTTCTTCAATTTTACAAAAGAGGGGAAGAGGATAGATTGAGCCATTCAATTCCGTAACAACATTCCCACCCTGTGGGAACCATTCTCCGTTGGGGCATTTTTGAAATCAACCCCTGACAAATTATATTCAGTTGTCCACCGCAAAAATTTAACAGCTTTTCCAATTCGCTGAACTATTTTCATCCCCCAATACGCATTTCGACCGTTCAGCCACAGGCTCCATCGTGCAACAGTGAAAAATTAAAATATACTTTCTATTTGAGGAATAAAAATGTATCATCCATAAAGTATTGGTTTCCAAACAGACCCCCATTTTATGAAACCACAGATATATTTTTAGTATTCGAGAAAACATTCCCCAATGATTCCCATCAGAGTGGAACGAAAAATCGATGTTTCAAACTCCTTCGGGACGTTATCTCACGTGAAAAACCCTGAACACTTGATTTGCGGTTTGTTTTTTACCCAACATTTTTTTTTCTATTTCCCCAAGCTCTAGTCGCTAGATAGCTATCGGCCCCCTCCCTCCTGCATTGAACCGATTACCGTTTATCACTCCTGAGTAATCGAGACCAAGCCTATCGATAAACGTTATTAAGTTGTAACGGTCTAGCGGACGTATTCAGTGTGGATCAGACAACAACTTGTCTCTCTTACAACTCCCTTTTATTCCTTTTTCAACTGCAATTTCATTTTTTTTCCATCTCTCCCCAGTGAAATTGAATTTCACGAATGAAAACCGAGGACATTCACAAGCCAACACTGCCTGTCTGCCTTCAATTGGCTGGCAATACCATCAAATACACATTGGATCAATAAAATCCAAGTGTCCAACGTTTCGTGGAGATAAAATGAATATCTGAGGTATCATTGTTATGGTCTCGGGGATGTGATTACGATTATATTGACGCTATTTCAGGATCGCCGTGTCCAACTTCATTCAGGATAAATTTTTATTTGAACGTCGTGGAAAGGAGAATTCAAGTTGGGTGACATATCCGTAAAATGGGGGCACATTAAAGAGTAGTGCTGCAGTCGCAGGAAAATTCAAAGTTCTAGGTCTAATTTCCAATAGTATATTGCTCTCGCAGGATAATGCATCGTTAATTCTGTTGGATATTACAATGTGAGGGCTATTGGTTTTAGTTTTGAATCCAGAAAAATAGTTTATACACTCCTATTATTTTTTATACACTGTTTTCCTAGTGATGCATTTGACGAGGCAAGGAGAGTCTCTTCGTCAGTGGTCGGACAAGCCTTGCATCACATCGCGAAGGAACTCAGTACTCGATGGGGCAGTTGTGTAGAGGCTTCCTGCAATTTGAAGAGAACAAATGTTGAGAAGTGAGAATTGAGAATACGAATGGACATTAGGGTTCTTAAACGTCCCTTTTCCGATTTTTTTACTGTTGCGCTAGATCATCTCCACACAATGAAAAAAAATAATAAAAATCAAATAACATCCGATTTTAACTGTCTTTGTATTTTATTTGTTTCCCGCGGCTATTATATAGCGAAAAATATTAAATTTTGGGTGTTTATTGAACATTAGAAGTACCATCTCAGTAAATTTTTTATTTTCAATTTTTCTGAGACGCAAGTAATTTCACTTTAATTTAATAATGACATATATTATACTTACCGTGTGGAAAAAACATTGTATCTGATAACAAGGTTGTCAATGTTGTCAATGTTCCATGTGCAAAAACATTGGAAATAAAAATAAAAATTTCCTGAGATAGTAGTTTTAATGTTTAATAAATACTTCAAATATTTAAAAAAGTTGGGAAGGAGACGTTTAAGAACCACCCCACTGGAGATACATACCAATGAACTGTGATCCACTGTTTTCATACGATATGAGTTTGCATGCGTTTTTTTTATCGACTTTAAATCCCAAACAACGGAAACGCTCGTCAGTCTTGTAGAGTGTACCGTTTTTGTAGGGATTGAGATAAGGCTGGCCACTGAATGGGTTTATAAAATCTGCCCAGTATCCAAACATTTTCAATTTCGTGCAGATGTCAGAGGCCGCTAGGAGGAACTGCAATTTGACAGGTTTGATGCAAAATTTGAGAATTTAATGCACTGTTAAAGGAAAATTGAAATTTCGAGGACAGTTTGGTAGGAGTTTTCAAGGGGATGACATTGGATTTTATTTAGGGGGACAAAATCATGAAAGCTTAAATTTCAGCGGAAATTCAATGAAATTTCAAAATTTTGAGCAGGAATATTTAGTATCAAGTATTTAGTCCCAAATCACGTAGAATTTTCAATTAATTAAACATTTGAGAATTTATTCCCGTGAACGTTTCGGATTTCTATTCATCTTTGTGGAATAATTCAACAATTTCCATCAAATTGTCCATTAAATTTTAAATTTTCAATGACGAAATTCCTTGAAATTTCAGTGGAATTGTGATGTGATAAAAATCTCCATAAAATGTATCAGAAATCTGAAAGAAATATTGATATTTACTGAATATAATCAATGATTCACCAGAGACATTCATATAAAATTCAATAGAATCGATTATCTCGTCATTATTACAGGAACCCTTAAAGAATTATTAATATTCTTTCGTCCATCCATAAACGACAAACTCAGACTGCTGAATATTCGAGGAATAATCAATCTTCTACTGACAATTGATGATTAATCCGATATCCGCACGAAAGTTTGATAGTCTCATCATGATTGAATAGCCGCGGAGATTCTCGGTAGTGACGTGGTAAAACGTCAAGTAGATTTTATCGCATTAGTAGTTGTTGCACGATTTTCAGTAAAAAAATCAAAATGAGTGAAAGAATAGATTTTCAAGAAAAAAAATAGTGCCAACGTTCTCGTCAATTTGCATTATTCATTCCGATCACAATCAACGATCGTTACGATGCTTGATTATTGCTTATAACAAACTTGAACGAGTGCCAAATTATTCATTCTTGGATTGTGATCCAAAAAAATATATATGGAGAGAACTTTATTTACGGTTTATTGTTAGTGTCTCTCAAAGGTCCCTGATTCTTCCATTAAATTCATCAATCTGAAGATGAAAACGTTAATTAATTACGTAGAAAACAGTTTTATTTGTAAATTAATAGATGAATATCTTCCGATTCTCATCTGCACAGTTACAAATTTGTGTAAAACGACAAGTAGATTTTCTGTCATGAGCAGTTTTTGCATAATTTACCATGAAAAATCAGAATGAGTGAAAAAATTTGATTTTCGACCACTACAACACTAAATTATTGCTCATAACAAACTCGAACGAGTTCCAAATGATTAATTCTTGAGTATTATTGAGGATCTGTTGTTATTATCTCTCCAATTCCCCTGATTCTGTCATTAAATTAACCAATGTAAAATAAAAACATTCATTACCACCAAAAAAACTTACAAATTTAGCTAATCTCTCAGTCTCAGTTTCTTTGCTCCACCTGGCCATCCTGGGGTTGAGTTTCTGAGTAATCGTGACAATAGTGAGCTGTGGTGATGCAGCTTCCACACACCCAGGAAACAGCTCCAGAATTCCTTTCCTCAGTAATATTGGGCACTCCTGCGCCACACAGTGTAGAACAGGCTCATCATTATTCCTACTAGTTTTCACATCCCTCTGATTCTTATCATTCCTCTCCTCATCGTCGCTGCATATCACTATTGACCGTGTCTCGACTTGAGCTGTTGTGGACTGATCCAGCCACCCTGGGCCCGTGCTGCCTGGCAGATAGAACCTGAACCCCCTGGGCCCAAACAGCTCCCAATTTGGATTCGCATCGAACTCATTATTCTCGATATCTGCATTAATCCCATCCGATTTTATCAGTTTATACGAACTCGTGCTTTTCGCTGACCTGCGAGAGTATTTCGCCTTCAATATCAGATTGACAGGTCTTAGGTAATCCTTCCGAAGTATTTTAACACAATTCATCTGTGAAAACGAAGAGAAACAGGTTAGGATCACAGAGAAACCTTTAAAAAATATAATGAAGAAAAATGTGAATAAAAAATAATTTGGAAGACAGTAAACCCTCACCTCCAGTTTTCACGATCTCACATGCTTGTTAAAAACACTTGTATTTTATCCAACAACACTAGATACTTGTGATGCTGTTGATTGCCAGCAACACTGGCTAATGTCATTCGAATTCACGTAGTCCATATGTGACGTATGCACTTATCGTATATTCAACGATTGCAAGAATAAATTGCTGATGAAAGAAAAAAATAATTTACTTTCTCGAAATTACGCTATCCGCGACATCTGCTATCGTGCCACTGACACTCTCCATTTTTTAATTCACGAAAAGTCCCAGAGATGACGCCACAACGATGAGGATTTCCTCAGTCTTGGCAATTACTTCGCAATAGAAGGAAAGTATTTGGTAAAATTCAACTGCAATTGAACGGAAAATTCGCTGAAAAAGTTTTGGTATCGCGATTACATTTACAATTGATCGAGTTCCCGCAATTCCGAAGTTCTGCGCGCGCATGTGTTTGCGATCCACCATTTTGCATCGTCTGGGGGAGAACAGTAGCGTAGGAAAAGTTGCGGGCCCATTCTTTGTCATTCTCCGTCTTGTATCTCCGGTTTACGAGTATTAGTGCAGTTTAGTTGGTGACAATTACCACTCAGCGTGAAATTCTGGTTAATTGGAAGAGGAGAATGATAGGAGGTGTTGCAGGCGACACGGTGTACCTGGTAAGTACCCAAGAATCTCGATAATTAGCGATAACTCGGGGATTCGGTGCGAGAGCGACGCCACTGTGACGCGTGTGCAAGTCACCTCCATTTTCCTCCAGAAGCCTCAAAGCCCCAAAAAGGAACGCCACTCCACAGCCATTTTGCTAGGGAGTTAGCTTCGCTAGTAGCAATTACGGCTAGTCGTATTTTCAATCTCGGGAAAAACAACTATTTGGTGATTTTGTGTTTATCAATTTTTTCTCTTGGATATTTTCGGTTCAATTTCGTGGAAAAAGTTATAGTTACGAGATAATTCGCTGATTTGTGATAATCATGGATGAAATGGAGAAGGAGGGTATGACGGTGGAAATAATTGATGGTAATCAGACCATACTTGCTGATGGTATATTTTCAATACCGCCGAAACTCACACCAACTGGTAAAATAAGTCACGCTAAAACACGTGTGTATACGCAAAGATACAGAAAAGAGTGGGAACAAATGCCGGATTTCAAAGGTAATGATAATTTGGTGGAATCATTTGATTTTGCATGCTGCATGAATTACGCACATTCGAATTATCCGGAATGGTTTTAGATTAATTGTATAGTGTGGACCTAGTGCGGAAAGTGATGTTTTTGACATTTGACGTGCACATGCTATTTTTTAAGGTATATCCCTAGAAAACACGTTTTTCTTAAGATTGTCCCCATGTTTTTTATCGATAATGTTTGTAATAGTCCCCAGCTATTTAAACAATGCAAATTAGCTGTGCTACGCAGTTTAGGAGATGATAAATAATCAAAGGCGAGCTTCTCAAATAAAGGACTCTTATCCAAAATAAAAGAACCTTACCAGGTAATTCCGCTCGTGGGCACGATCCCCTTATTTTACCTCCTTAGGTTAAAAATCTATTATTTCAAAACGTCTGCAACGGAAAGTTTATATTTTATTTTCTGATGAGCGGGAGAAAAGTGGATAGGGGAGAGTGGGGTAAAACTGCCTCTTTTGATTTTTTCAAAAATGTCAACAGCTCATTCAATTTGAAATGAAATGGAATTTTTTTTTTCCATGGAAAGTACACTTCTTCCCCTTTAGAGTGAGCCTAGACTGATCTCAATTGATGAATTTGTTTGAGAGTTATGAGAATCACAAGAAAGTTAAAAGGGGCCGTTTTACCCCATTCTCCCTTACTTTTCGCTCAAGGGTGAAAAGTTGTTCCTGGGGGAAAAAAATACTGACATTCCGCCTTTGGGCGGACACTAATCAGTACTTTTTGCCCGAGAGAAAGAATTTTGTCTCTATAAGCTAGGGAGGTTAAGGTATATATCAAGATAATACCAACCAAAAATTTATCCTCCAAATACCCCTCGAGCTTCAAAATGCATCGGGTATTTCACTCAACCTTTCCTGCAAACAAATGATCGTGTCAAGTTTTGTAGGGAAATCCCTCGCGCTATCGGGAAATACCCGATCATTCTGAAGCTCTCGGGGTATTACTACAGATAATACCATCCGATGGATCTTCGGAAAAAATTCTAAATGACTTGATTTATTGCATTCTCACAACTTATTAAGTTTTTCTATCCTCATATGTTGTTAATTAAGGCAACAATGACTGTTTGAACCATATAAAAAGTTATTTGTTAATTAATTGTTCGAATCAAATAAATGATTTCATAAGATTTCCATTTTTTAAAGTTGAATATCGCTGAAAGTACTATAAAATTTGACAAAAAATTCACAGTGTTCGTAATTTATCAGTCTACCACGTATTCGTTTTTTAAGAACATCGTAAGACCGTAGAGTGTGAAGTATTCGCTTTCCTCCCGCTCATCGAAAAGCAAAATCCAATCTTTCCTTTGCAGAAGTGTTAAAAAACAGCATTTGCACTTCGAGCGCGGAAAACATGACTAAGCCGTTGGCGCGCAATATCCTATTATCCTACAACATTTGAACAGTAGCATGAAACATTTTGGTGCCTGATAAATAAAAATCGATCGATTTGCACGCAAGTTATGTGAAAGAAACGGAAAAGCATGAAAATAAATTCTGAAAAAATGGGATAGTTTTCTCAGTTTCCTTCACTTTCTATAGGTTGCGGGTCATGGGTTGACCGATTTGTCATGGAGTGCCCCGTAAACTGTCTTCAATTATATTAAGGATGTTCTACACCCTTTCTGCCAATATTCACGTTTTTTTAATTTTTCTGGCAAACTTATGATGGAATTGACGTGAAAAAATATAACGTTTTTGCGTTTTGTCATTATTTAATGACTGACGAAATTTTAAGGCGGTGCGAACATTTTCCTGCGTTTTCTCTAAACTTTTAAAAAGAATCACAAAACTGTAGAAAAAACGCATGAAAATTATCGCACCACTACGCAACTTCGTGAGCCATTAAAGAATGACAAACCACAAAATCGTTATATTTTTTCACGTCACTCCCATCGATAATTTGCCAGAAAAATGAAAACAACGTCAATTTTGGCTAAAAGGGTGTCGAACATCCTTAA